AAGAACAGAAATCTGGCCAGGGATTTAGCTCAGTGGCGCCATGCCTGGCTCGCAAGCGAAAGGTCCTGAGTTCGACCCCAGGTACCAAGAGAAAAACACCAACAACAAATTTATCCTTTGACAGTTCTGGAGGCCAGAAGTCCCCCATCTGTCTTGTCTGTGTGTCTCTTGTAGGGAGATTCATTGTCAGGTGAGAGCCTGTCCAGGTGGTCCAGGAGGAGTTTGTCTCTGGTCCTGTACATGATCATATCTGTGAGGACCTGGTGTCCAGATGAGGTCAGTTCCCGGGATCTGGCTGTGGACACAGAATTTAGGAGGCTACCATCCGATCCCATATGTCCCAGCTGCACAGGGCAGTGGCGTCTGAGTGCTTTGTGTGAGTCCCTGCCATCCCGAGGACACAGTGAGAGGGGTCATGCCATCATCAGGGGTGGGGCAGAGACAGCTGCTCCCCCAGACTTTAGGATGACAGCGACAACACGAGCTGTGGATTTGGGCCGGTCACCCTGCTGGAGCGTGGAGTGGGGCCGGAAGGCGGGAGGAAGCGTGGGCTTGGGGATGCTTGGTTTGGGTCCTTGCCACCACACACACGAGTGCTGGCCAGCCCTTCTTCAAGGCCCCTTTGGCCCGGCCTCCCCGCTGGGCTCTCAGCCTCCTGCGTTGGCAGCTTTCCACCGGAGGGCCTGTGGGGCTGCCCGCCCTTCCTCTGCTCCCCATCTGGGCCTGCTCTGGACGACTTGCTGTTCTAAACTCTCTCTGCTTGCCCTGTCCCCAGCCAGCCGGAGAGGCTCGTTAGCACGCACTTCATTTCTATGGTGTGTCTTCCCATGGGGACTTGGCTTGAGCACTTTTCAAACATGGCATTCCCACAGAGGCCTCAGCATTACTCAGCACTCAGGCCCAGTGCTCACCGGCACGCATCTTCCAGGCCCTGAATTTACCTCTGCAGCCCTCGGTTTTCTCGGCCATGCTGGTGCAGAAGGACACATGGGGAGGGGCGGCGCCAGGCCTCCAGGCTGTCAGTGGGGAGTCTGAGCCTGCAGGGCGCTGCGGGTCACACAGAACTGGGGACTTGCACGGGAGGCCCCCCAAACCTCGTGCACCCGGGCTGGCAGGACAGCCCCACAAACCAACCCGAGGACACAGCGAAGTGCTGGGAGCCCCAGGGCAGGGCTCTGGGACCAGTTTGGATCAACAGATGCTGTGGTTAGTGCTTTTTTTGGTACTGCGGATTGAACCCAGGGCCTTTGTGATGGGCTACATCTTCGGCCCATTTTCACTTTCTGTTTTGAGACAGGGTCTCACTAAGTTGCTCAGTTGTTGAACTTTGATCCTCCTGCCTCAGCCTCCCAGAGCAGTGGGATTACAGGCCTGTGCCACCACAGCCAGTGTGGCTAGTGCTTAACTGACTGACTTAACTGATTATTCCAACAAGGGACTCCATTTCAGAGACCAGCTTCAGGGAAGCTGAAGCATCTGCTTCTTGCTCCTCAGCAGACACCCAAAGGGGCAGACCAGGGCCTCCCCAGCCGGGGAAGGCTTGGACTTGTGCCTGTGGTTCCCTGGCCTCGCCTCCCTCTGTCCACCCAAGAGGCCCAGAAACAGTGGCCAGGGCAGTGAGCAGGGCTTCATGGGTGTGGACATGGAGCTCAACTGTCCTTGGAAGTCAGGAAAGAGAAGAGGCCTGCAGCAGCCAGCCAGGAAGGGCACGGTCTAGATGCCACACTCAGGAACACGCTTGCTGTGCAGGCTTGTCAGCCACTCTGCCCACCCCACCCCTTCCTCCCCGGAGACAGGTCTCGCTATAGTGCCCAGCTGGCTTCTATCTCCTGGGCCCAAGTGATCCTCCTGCTTCAGCCTCCTGAGCAGCTGAGACTATAGGTTTGTGGCCTGTGCCCAGCTTGCCAAGCATTTTGGCCCCATTCATCCTCCAGCAGTGCTTCTGTCTAGGGGTTGGTGCTATGACCTAGCACAAGGACCCCGAGGCTCACTCTCCCCATCCCCAGATGGCACGAAGGCCAGGGCACAGGCTCAGCACTGCTCTTCCCGCCTCTCCTCCCACCTCTCTTCCTGCCTCCCTCCTCCGAACCTCTGGCTGAGGGGCAGCCTGGCCACTCCAGGGCAGGTGCCATATCGGCCCAGCCCACCTTTCTCCCACTGTCTGTCTTCACAGCAGGTACTCCTGGGATGGCTCATTCCAGGGATCCACAGCTCAGCCTCCCTCCAACAAACTAGAACCAGGGAGTGACCACACCACTGGCCACCTGCAACCAGCAGGGGAGGGCCCAAGGGAGGAGCACAGCCCTCTTCCAGCCCAGCGGGAGTCCTGAGGCGCCTGCAGTGTGGAGGTCCTTGGCCTCAGCCACTTGTGTCACAACCCTGTGTCCTGGCCCTCACCCTTCTGTTTCATGCTTCCCAGGCCCACTGCTTTCCCGGAGTCACTCCCCAGGGAAGCCACCTCCGCAGGACCTGGTCTCAGGCAGGGCCCTCCTGTGTGGCACCTGGGGAACTAATGCTCTCCTCTCCCCCTTCTGCCTTCCCTCAGGACCAGCGTTCTGCTCTGCTCTATTGTTTGCTGGATCCAGGAGCCACCAGGTCCCCTGGGGGGCCCAGCCACTCTTGTTTATCCAATAACAATTAATTCTCAGCAATCATCTCCAGTCTTGAACCAAACAAACAAAAAGGTGCAGAAGCTGGGACAGGGTGGAGGTCAGGATCTCAGGCTTATTTTCCTGGGGACATGCAGGAAAGGGCAGTTCACACGAGGCCCTTCGGGGCCCTGTTTTCCTCCGTGGATGTGTGTTTGCACACGAGTGTGTGTACTTTAAAGACAGATTTACACTATCTTTTGACTACAAAAGCAAAGCCTGCTTGATTTCTAGGTTACCACCATCTGCAATGGAAAAAAAGCGTGGCAGCCAAAAGCAGAGTACCCACAATCTCACGCTTTGCACTTGAGGGTGGTTTTTGTTTTTTGGTGGTGCTGGGGATTGAACCCAGGGCCTCATGCATGCTAGATGAGCTCTCTGTCAGTGAGCTACCTCTCTTGCCCTGAGGGTGATTATTTTTAATTATCTTTGGACCAGAACATTTCAGCCTTAGAGAATGAGGCCAGTTGGTTCCTTCAGGGAGAGCCAGAGCCCACTTCTTCCAAGGTCGCTCACCCATCCATTCAGTGACAATGTGTTGAAGATCTGTTAGGCTCCAGGAGGTTGCTCTGAGCCAACAAATAACAGGGGAAGCCCCAGATCTCCTACTGTGCTCTGGCTCAGGGAAGGGCCCTGCCTGACCAGGTGCAGAGCAGGGATGGGAACGCGCCACCGGCTTTCCTGTTGTTGGGCCTGTCTGGGGGCTCCTGCCACCTGCAAGATGCCACTTTCGGGCCCAATCGGATCCTCCCCTCCCCGCCCAAAGGCTCTGTTTCAGACCCACTTGGGCGGAAGTCACCTCAGGCTGAAACCTGTCTGCCTTGCAGGTGGGCACGAAGCCCTGCAGAGCTAGCAGCGTCCTGAGGGTGGCGCTGGACAGCTCTTCTGGTCCTGCTGATGCCTGGCTCTTCGGGTGTGTGCTCTGCACAGGTGCCCACAGCAGAAAGGGGGATCGCGGAGGAAAAGCAGCCTGGGGTTTTTGCCGAGGGTTCCTTGAGCGGAATCTTCTCCTTTCATGAGCTCAGTGGGGAGGAGAGGCTGCGGCACAGGCCTTCATGGCCTTGCCAAGTAGGCCACTCACAGAGAACCACAGGGGTTGGCATGTGTGCCAGGAAAGGGGGATCGCAGAGGGCGCAGTGTGGTTGCCTCTTGTGTCAAAGCAAACTTCAACGTGATTATTATCAGCTTTTTCTTTTATTAACACGCGTTCTTTTGTTAAACATAAAAATCATGCCCTCCTTACAATTCAAAATAAATTTTTGGACTCCAAAAAATTAGAACAATGGGGGTGCTGCCACTGTATGTAAATCACCCTCCCCATGCAGCCGCTGCATGCCCTGCGTCTTTGCCATCCGAGCCCTGAGAAGTCTGGGCCGAGGCTGGCTGCCTTTCAGACAGATCGGGGGACAGACACAAGCAGGGTCGCTTCTCTGGCGGAACCATTCATCCCCGAGGGACGCGCGGCTGCCTAAGGCTCTAAAGCGCAGCCCCGGGTGCACCAAGGGGTCCCCTTCCAAGGACGGGGCCGTCTCTCTCCCTCCGCAGTCTTCAGCTCCACCCCCACCCCCCCGGGCCGATTCTTAATGCCGCCCGCAGTCCTCGCCCACCTCCCCTCAGCAGGCGCTTTTGTTCCAAAACAACCCATCTCTCCCTTAACCAACCAGGGGTTCTGTCAGATTCAAGGAAAACACTTTGGACTCGGTGTCGGAGCGTTTGCATTTTTGCGGGAGCTGACGAATTCAAACCCGTCTCGGCTGGGCAGGAGGTGCAGGGGAGATCTCCGTGAAGCCGGTCTCCGCCGGAGCCAGGAGCCAGGCGGGCCGCTCCCACGCGCTTCCTCCCAGAACAGGGCTGGGCTGCGGCACCTCCGCGGAAAGCTGCCCCGCTCTGGTCTCGTGGGAGTTCGGGGAAGCTGCGGCCGAGCCCCGATCGCCGCGCTCACCTGAGGGAGCACACGCCGGGCTTCCCTCCCCGAGGCGGGCCCGGCCGCTCACCGCAGCTCCGCGTCCTTCTGCCCGCAGCCCACCCGCTGCCACGCGGCCGCCGGGGCTGGAGCGTGGGGACCCGAGCGCCCGTCCTCTCTCGCCCCGCGGGGTTGCAGCGGAGCGCGCTCGCCGAGGGGCGGTGACTCGAGGAGGAGGAGGGGCCGCCCGCCTCTCGCCTCCCGGGGCCGGGAGCGCGCGGGGCCGAGCCGCCGAGAAGCGCCGCGCCCGGACTCGCTGGCGCGGCGAGGATGCTGGCGGGCTCCCGGGGGCTCGGCCCGCGCTGCCGCCGCCGAGGGCCCTGCGCGCCCTAGCGAGGCCCGGCCCGCGCCCGCGCCTCCAGTCCCGCCGCCGCCTGCCTCCCCTCGGCTGGGAGCCCGCGGGTGCTGAGGGGCAGCCCCGCGCCTCTCGCGGTCGAGTTCGGGCCTGACGGCCGGGGAGCCGGGGCCGGGGCGGCGGGGAGCAGCCCCTGGGCGCGCTGAGCCCGCAGCCCGCACCAGACCGCCCCGGAGCACGCGGTCCCGAGTCCCGCACAGGTGAGCGCCGGGCTGGAGCCGGGGCCGGGCCGGGCTTGGGGGGGGGGGGCAGTCGGCGCCCCGAGGCTGGGAAGGGCTGGGAAGAGGGCCGGTGGGAGCCCGAGCCTCGGAGGGCTGGGTGGAGAAAGGAAGTAAACAGAAGGAAGATGCAGGAATCCCCAGGATGGTTCTGGTTTCTTCCTGGCACGTTTTATTTTCAGCTTCCACGAACGGGGCCTGGAGGGAATTTAGGCGAGGCAGGCAGGGACTGAGCGGTATGACACAGAGACCGGGTGCTCGGTTGGAGGCGGCAAGGCCCCTCCAAAAGCCCGAGACAGGAAACCGATGTCTGGGGTGGCAGCCTATGCTCGGCGTGGGGGCAGCGGGGAAGGCCCCGGAGTGGAGGCGCTGGCAGCAAGGAGCCTCCAGCGAGGGCGGAGGCCGTGGGGAGGCCACCCAGGAGGAGGAGGTGCTCCTACTCAGTGGTGTCCTTTTAAGTTCCAGATGACTGGTGCCACCCGAGCCCTGGAAACCTGCTCCGTGCTCCTCCCAGCCCTTCAGCCCCAGCCCGGAAGAGACGCTCAGCCGGCCCGGGGTCTCAGGGAGCCCTGGTAGGTGGGCTCTTCCGGAGCCCTTCCGCTGCCCAGTCCTCCTCTCCAGCGCCAGTGGAAGCAGACGCCAGCCAGGATGCCGAGGAACCAGGGCTTCTCCGAGCCCGAGTACTCCGCCGAGTACTCAGCGGAGTATTCCGTCAGCCTGCCCTCTGACCCTGAACGCGGGGTGGGTCGGACCCATGAAATCTCCGTCCGGAACTCGGGGTCTTGCCTGTGTCTGCCTCGCTTCATGCGCCTGACCTTCGTGCCTGAGTCCTTGGAGAACCTCTACCAGACCTACTTCAAAAGGCAGCGTCACGAGACCCTGCTGGTTCTGGTGGTCTTCGCGGCCCTGTTTGACTGCTACGTGGTGGTCATGTGCGCTGTGGTCTTCTCCAGCGACAAGCTGGCCCCCCTCGTGGTGGCGGGGATCGGACTGCTGTTGGACGTCATCCTCTTTGTACTCTGCAAAAAGGGTCTGCTCCCTGACCGGGTCAGCCGGAAGGTGGTTCCCTACCTGCTGTGGCTGCTGATCACAGCCCAGATCTTCTCCTATCTGGGCCTGAACTTCGCCCGGGCCCACGCGGCCAGTGACACTGTGGGCTGGCAGGCCTTCTTTGTCTTCTCCTTCTTCATCACGCTGCCTCTCAGCCTCAGCCCCATCGTGCTCATCTCTGTGGCCTCCTGTGTTGTGCACACACTCGTCCTGGGGGTCACGGTGGCCCAGCAGCAGCAGGAGGAGCTGCAGGGGATGCAGCTGCTGAGAGAGGTGAGTCCCGCCTTCCCTCGCCATTCTCTCTCCCCAAGTGGTGGTGGTGGTGGTGGGGTGGTTTTTTTTGCCCTTGAGTCAAAATGTGACCTGGGGGGCGGTGACTGGGACTCTCAGTAGGTCGCTTAGGACCACCTCAGCTCCCAGCCCTGCACACCCCGCCATCCAGGGATTGCCCTTAGGGAAGGGAGGATGTCAGGACCCTGGGGGTTGGGACACTGCCACCCGGGCTCCATCTGAGTGGATGACCCTCGTGGGCCCGGTGTTGTCCCAGCCAGGAGCACTCTTGTGGGGGCCTCTGATCTTCACGGTGACTGCCAGCCTCCAGCATGTGACTTGACTTGTGTAGTCTGTCAGTGCACCCGTCCAATGGGGGCATTGCCTGCCTTGCCTGCAGAATGTAGCAGTTGTCAGGATGAAAGGAAACATAGGTGAAAGCTCATTAGGAAACGTGAAGGGCTGTTGGGAGGGAAGATGCAGTTATCCTGTATCCTGCTTCCGCCTCCAGGAACTCAAGGTACCGCAAGCAGTTAGACGAGTCCAGAGTGTGGGGCCACTCCTGGGAACGGTTGTGCCAGCCACTGTGATGTGGCGTCTGCAGTCCCGGGGGGTGGTTTCTGGTGGAAGGTGTGGCCTTTGGGCCAAAGCTTAACTGATACAATGTGGCCCCACCAAGCGCTGAGGCCCCGCCAGACTCTGGGGCCACAGCGGCAGCACACATGAACTTGGCTTTTATCTCGTTCTCCCTGGGAACTCCGTGGGTCTTAGAGCAGACGGATGGATCTCACAGTCTCACATCCTGCCTTCTACTTCCTTATTCTGTATTTGAGCTCGGAGCAGGGAAGTGAGCTGCCCAAGGTCGCAGTTTATGGTGGCCATGTGGCTGGAGTGTCTCTTTCCTGCGTCTGCTTCCAGCTCTGTTCCCCCTGCATCCCCCTGTTGCCTCTGTCACTGTTAGCACTGTCTCCCTGGGGCTGGGGCTGGGGCTGTGTCTGTGTTTCCAGGTGCCTGTGGTGGTTATGCAAGAACTCTGGGGCTGCCCCATTGCCTCTCACTTGGTTAGAGATCACGGGTTTGCTCGGGTTTAATTTTTTCTTAGTTCGTGGGTCAGAGTACTTTGTTTTCCTGCTCTGGCCCGAGTAGTGACCTGTCCCGTGGAAGCTCCCTGCCCCTCCGTGCTGCATGGCCCCGGCCTGGGCTGTGCCTGTGCCCACAGGTTCCTGCCTTTCTCTTGGTCTTGCTGTCATGATTTCTGGGTTGCTGGGTTTCAGTGTGTGCCCTGCCTGTTGAGGGCTTTGCAGGAAGCTGCCTGGAAAAGCCTGGCCACAGCCATTCCTCTTGGGAATCTGTTGGGATATGGTTAGGTTGGCTGGCAGCATTTGGGGCCTGGGATCAAATTCTGAACGGTTACTTTCTAGTGAACGGTCACTGCTTGCCCTTTTGTCCCTGCCAGGGCCCCTGGGCCGAGTCAGGGTGCCATAAACAGTTAAGGCAGCTGTGCTGTCCGGAGAGGGGCAGAGCAGAGCTTCCCCCGGGGGAGCACAGGGGCCCCACCCCAACCTCACAGACTGCTTATTGGTGGGTGTCCTGGGTAGGACAGAGGGCCTTCTAGGGACACTAAGCCCTCGTCCCCTGAGCCATTCCTGAGCCTGGGCAGAGCTCTGAGATGGGGCACAGAGGGGCCTGCCAGAGTGCCAGTGATTCTGGGTTCAGCAGGGATCAGACTGAGGGACACTGGACAGTGTGCGTCCCTGGGTGGGGGACACCAACTGGTGACCAGTGAACAAGGCGAGCTGCTTCCCCGAGTGGTGTCCAGCCCGCCAGCCCTGTGCTGTCCTCTGAGCTCTATGGTTGGTAGGAGAAGCTGATTCCTGTCCAGCGCAGTTCTGTGGAGGATGGGGCTGGCACGGTGTCAACTCAAAGAGGTGACCTGCTGGGTACCAGGAGAGGCAGCGTGTCCTGACTGGAGCCTCCAGGGGCCCCGGGGTGAGCACTGGGCCATGGATACGCCACCAAGCAGTCTCAGGGTGAGCGGGCAGATTTCACTCCTTTACCAGTTTCTCCACTCATGCCTTAGCCTTCTGATTTGTTCTAGCAGCAGTCACAGGATGTTAGCATGGGGAGGGAGTCTGGGAGAACATCTAGTCCTGCTCCCCTGTTTTACAGAGATGGACAGTTGTGGCTCCTGCATGGTTAGAGGAACATCAGTGTGTGATCCATGGGGTGTTTGTTCCAGTAACAGAGAGCACAAGCCTGCCTCCCTACCCCATCCTGGGGATGAGGACTGCAGTTCCTACCCAGATCTCAGCAGAAGGCACAGCTTCTAGGGATCTCTGGCTCTCTGCTCATGGACTGGATGGAAGCAGGAGTCTTTCCCCTGGTTCGTTTTACCCTCTAGCTCTGAGGAGTTCTGGGATAGCCTTCAAGCCTTGTCGCTCTGGGGCTTAGCCTCTAGGTAAGCAAGGAGGTTCTTGGAGAAAATGGCCGGGGGGGCTTTGATCCAGACACGTTGGGGCCACAGTGCTCAGGAGCCCCAGAAATCCATGTGTCAGCAGCAGGGCGTATGCGCAGCATGCACAAGGCTCTGGGTTCCATCCCCAGCACCAAAAATAAAATAAAATGAAAAAATTAGCATCTAGGGGAACATGACCTTGACGTGAAGCAGAGCCTGAAACTTGGCTTTGGGAACAGAGAGGGGAAGGGAAGGAGACTCCCAAGGTCCAGCTGGGAGCCTGGGAGAGGAGGCTGGAAGCCCAGCTCGGAGTGGCCCAGTTCCAGAAGTTTCGGAGTCTCTTGTTCGGGACCACTGTGACTTTTTGATAGGTGCCTGGGTTCCTAGGCTTGCCCACCAAAGTCCTTACGTCTTGGCACCCCTGCGTTGGTGTCTGTGTTGCTGCGGAGGGACGCCTGGGACCGTCTGCCCCTGGCGTGCACCGGGAAGCGTCATTCTGCTCTGCTGCTGCTCTGGGGCTGTGCTGCCGCCTGAGGGTGGCTCCCTCGAGGATGAGGGGCAGGGGCACGAGAACCAGATGCTGGCCCTCGCCCCAGTCGGGCTAACTCCCAGGAGCTTTCTTAGGGCCCCTTTCTTTCCTCCTGCCCATGGGTCCTCCACCTCCATCCGGCCTTGGCAGGGACTCCCCCTTGCACTGTGTGAGACAGACTCAGTGTCACGGTTAACACCTGGCATTCTGGAGGGGTTGTGAGCTTTGTGGTTTTGTTGCTTCTGCTGCCAGCAGCACTGAGGAAGCTTTTCCAGTTCCAACAGTCTTCCTCTGTGGCCCTCACGACCCCCAGTCTGCACCCTGGTCACTCTGTGGGGAAGGGCGGAAGGTACATGTGGGGTGCGGGGCCGCTGGACAGCCTGTCCGGGGTCCTTCTCCGGAGCCAGTGGGTGGGGTTCCAGTGGGAATAAGAGGTTAAGTCAGGTGGTTGGGTGGGGCTGGGGCTTCACTGCTTCACTGACAGGGTATTGCAGAGCAAAGGGTATGGGCTTGGCAGCACTTGGACCGGGGCCAAGGTGCGCCAGGCTGTGGTGGGGAGAGCCTGGGCCTGGAGCTGACTCGGGAGGGTGGATGTGGGAGGAGTTGGAGCTGCTGCTGGCAGCCTTTGCCTCGGTCTCCCCTCATGACCTGGGTCATGGCATCAGCACCACTTATGGCATGGTGTGTCATTTACTGTCCCAGACTTAAAGAAGGAGAGGTTTGTTTGGCTCATGGTTTTAGTGTGTTCAGTCCATGGTATGCCGGCTCCAAGGCAGAAATGGCCTAGTAGAGGACAGCTGCTCACCCCATGGCAGCCAAAAAGCAGGAGATGAGAATGCACCCTTCTAGGCCACACCCTCAGGGACCTGCCTGTTCACCCAGGGCCTGCCACCTAGCACAGCACATTCAACCATGAGCTCATCAGTGAATTAATCCGCTGACGCGTAGAGCGCCGCCATGATCCCTTCATCTTCCACAAGCTTCGCCTTTGAACACAGGAGACTTTGTAGGACTATTTTAGGTCTAAACCATAACAGCTGTTAAGATCTTTATTCACAGAGTAAAACAGGATGATGCTGTGGATGTGTAATTCCTTTCCCACCTGCAAATTGCATAGCAAGTCACTCACCCGGGGAAGGAACACCTGGCTGTGGAGTGTGGAGAGGGTGTGAGAGGAGACAAGTCTTCCAGAGACAGCCCTGTCTGTAGCTGATCATCCCATTAAATCCTAGGTGTGATCGGGTCCATTTTGAAGATGAGGAAACTGAGGCCTGGTGAGGCCAGATGACTGGGCAGCAGACATTGATGAGTGAGAAGGGGGCTGTGGGCTTCCCTGAAAACCCCTCTTTCTCTGCAGTGCAGGCATCTGGGCCTCCTTCTGCTTCTTTGGCTGCCTCAGAGGCCTTTGCTGAGTGTTGAAGCACAGCACCAAGAGATGGGAGGCCCTAAAACATGACAGGAAGGGCCCCTACCCCAAACTGGATGTAAGGAGGGGAGAAGCCCATGACAGAGTGTTCCTGTGGGACCATGCCCGGAGCACATTTCAAATGTGAGGGCAGGAAGGCAGCAGGCCTGGGCGCGTTTGGCCACCAGGAAGCCAGGTGTGGGGATCCATGCAGGGCAAGTCGGGAGGAGGCAGACGACCTGGCTCTTGGCCCTGGGCTCTGGCATGGTCCCCGGGCAGGAGAGCAGCAGCCACCTGTTCTTGGAGAGCATGCAGATTGGCATTAGGGGAGGAAGATTGAAGAAATGCGTAGAAGGGAGCCGCAGGGCCCCCGAATCCAACCAACTCCACAGGATGAAGGATGAGGAATTTTGAACACACCAACAGTTTTTGCCGAAAATCACCCCCAGTCCCTGTCCCTGGTCTTCTTTCTCTGTGGCCTTTCTGATCCTTATCTGTGTGTAAACACAGCTTTTTCAGTGTGTCCTTGTGGTTCATGTGCAATTTCAGGCCCACCTTTCACCCACATTTCACTGACATTTTGCCGTGAACATCAGAGTCCTTGTGTTTGTGAT